CCAGGGAACAACTTGATACACGCTTCTGTTCAAGTAAAGCTGATTGGCTGAAGTTGGGGTGGGGGGGGCGGGAGAACGGAGACGGCCGGAAGTACGTCTGGGGGAGTGGAAATACGGGAGGAAAGGCTCAGGTCCGGTTTTCTAGAGTGACCTCTCTGCTCACCGTCTCGTTGGTTCCGGAGGTCCTGTGGTCGTGGGAAATGCTGGCGCGCGCTGCGCGGGGCACTGGGGCCCTTTTGCTGAGGGTGAGTGCGAGGGAACCTTCTCCAAGGGTCCTGCCAGAGATCACCTGGATCCTTACCTGGGAAGGAGCAGGATTCTAAGTTTGGGGAGAGAACTAGGGTCAGAGGTCACAGTACCCACGTGAGTTCCTCTCCGAGGACCCTTTAGGGTCGCGGTTTAAGGAGATGCTCTCTGGACAGGCGCCGAGAAGGGCGATGTGGCCCGCCGGCTGGGGTCTCTGCTAATCCTCGTCTTCTCGATAGGGCTCCGTGCAGGCTTCTGGCCGTGCTCCGCGTCGCGCCTCCTCTGGATTGCCCCGAAACACCGTGGTACTGTTTGTGCCGCAGCAAGAGGCCTGGGTGGTAGAGCGAATGGGCCGATTCCACCGGATCCTGGAGCCTGTGAGAACCTCTTCTGCCCACTCAGGGCCACCCTGATGCCGAATTCCCTCACCATATGGGCGGATGGGGTGGGATCTCATTGGAGCCTGCGCCCACTTTTGGCTTTCAGCTCCCCTGGCCAGACCTGGCAGGGCCCAGGCTGCTGAACCCATGTTACCACCTTTGGGTGTTGCTCTAGCATTACACAAGCCCCATTCTTGGGTATCTCCCCTATCTACCCCCTCAGCTCCTGTTGTCTGCTACTCTGCTGGCTCCCATTCTCTTGACTGTTCCCTTTGTTCAGATGTCCTGCCTTGTATTCCCATCTTTTTGGACTTCCCTACCATTGACACGCCCAGCTTTCTGCTTTACTTGGAATGTTCCATATGTTCATTCCATACCCACTCCAGGCCTAGCTTGGATCTCAACCCTACAACCCCCATCCTTCTGAGGACCCATGACTCCTCTTCCCAGGGCTTGAACATCCTCATCCCTGTGTTAGACCGGATCCGATACGTGCAGAGTCTCAAGGAAATTGTCATCAACGTGCCTGAGCAGTCGGCTGTGACTCTCGGTGAGGGGTGCAGGGTGACACGGGTGCCCTGAGACCGTTAGGATGTAGTTGCAGGAGATGCAGAGCTCATGAGAAAGAGCTGATCGGAAATTGGAGGCCTGATTTTCCTCCTTTTCTCTCCTGCTCCTGTACCTATAGACAATGTAACTCTGCAAATCGATGGAGTCCTTTATCTACGTATCATGGACCCATACAAGGTATCTTCTCCTTGGTTTATTCAGCTCCTAAGTTGCTTTTCCTGCTAAAATCCTGCATTCGAGCTTCTTACACTTTCCATGCCCTTTTCAGGCAAGCTATGGTGTGGAGGACCCTGAGTATGCTGTCACACAACTAGCTCAGACGACCATGAGATCAGAGCTTGGCAAACTCTCTCTGGACAAAGTCTTCCGGGTAAGGGGTCTGAGCCAGAGTTACTGTTTGAAGATGCTTCCCTCACACTCTCAGTCCTTTGTGGGAGTCAAGATCAGTTAGTGGCACTTCTCAGCTTAGATCCCTGATGAGTGTGTTGAAGCCATGGAATTTATACCTCTCTTTCTCCAGGAGCGGGAGTCCCTGAATGCTAGCATTGTGGATGCCATCAATCAGGCTGCTGATTGCTGGGGCATTCGCTGCCTCCGTTATGAGATCAAGGATATCCACGTGCCACCCCGGGTGAAAGAGTCCATGCAGATGCAGGTGGGGGCCAGGGAGGGGCGGGGAAGAGGACTTCAGGATGCTCCAGTCTCATGGGGACTTGGACTCCCTTCCCTGTCATGATGGGTACAATTGCAGGTCTGTGTAAGAATTTACTCTGGGTTTTTGTTGATGGGGGTCATTGGGGGTTTCTAGGTGGAGGCAGAGAGGCGGAAACGGGCCACAGTTCTAGAGTCTGAGGGGACCCGAGAGTCAGCCATCAACGTGGCAGAGGGGAAGAAGCAGGCACAGATCCTGGCCTCCGAGGCAGAAAAGGCTGAACAAATAAATCAGGCAGCAGGTCTGCAGAGGGTAGAGGCTGAGGGAGGAGAGGGCTTGGGTTTTTGAGGGTTGGTACTGGGACAGGAGCTTTGAGGTACCCTGACTTCATGAGTAAAGCTCCATCTCTTTTCTTCCAGGAGAGGCCAGTGCAGTTCTGGCCAAGGCCAAGGCTAAGGCTGAAGCTATTCGGATCCTGGCTGCAGCTCTGACACAACATGTGAGAGGCTCCTGGGTGGGGTGGGAGACAAGAATTGACACTGGAAGAGGTTTTCTCATCTACTCTTGGGAGAAGTTCCTGCCTTTGTGGGTTCCGCTGAGCCAGATTACATGATCTCTTGTATTGTGATCTGTATTGTGATCTGATTCTCTTTCCAGGAACCTGACTACTCTTTACTCCCCTCCCCTCCACCTACCCACCCATCTCCTTCTCCAAGACTGTGATCTTTGATTTTTTCTGTGGCCACAGAATGGAGATGCAGCAGCCTCACTGACTGTGGCTGAGCAGTATGTCAGTGCATTCTCCAAACTGGCCAAGGACTCCAACACTATCCTGCTGCCGTCCAACCCTGGCGATGTCACCAGTATGGTGGCTCAGGTTAGAGTACCCTGAGGACCTAGCACAGGACACCAATGCCAGAAACTGAGACCCCTGTCACCACCATCACAACTTAGACACCATAGAGGCCTTCAGAGTAGCCTGAGCCCTAGACCTTCTGTTAGTCTCTGTAGAGAATAAGTTTCTAAGAATGAGATACCTCCCTCACCCCTGGAGATAGGGGAGCTCTTGAGACATCTTTTTTTGGGGGCAGATATATCTGTACCAATATTCTGAGGGTAACCCTGCTCTGATAGTTTTTACGATTCCTAGAATCGACTCTACAGCTTGAGTCTTGCAAGAGAGATAGAAAGGAAAAATAAGTTTATTAGCCCCAGCCTCACTTTCTTTTTAGCTATTGGTGGGTTGGGCTATGCCTTCTGCCATGTGTCCTCATGGCTCTCTCTGTCCCTTTTTTTAGGCCATGGGTGTGTATGGGGCCCTCACCAAAGCCCCAGTGCCCGGGGCCCAGGATTCAGTCTCCAGTGGGAGCAGCAGAGATGTCCAGGGCACAGATGCAAGTCTTGATGAAGAATTTGATCGAGTCAAGCTGAGTTAATGGAGCTGGGCTTGGCCAGGGAGGCTGGGGACAGGGAAACAGCATTCCCATACTCTGGCTCTAGCTTCCCTGCCAAGATTTTGTTATTATTTTTTTATTTGAACTTTAATCATGTAATAAACTTGCCACTGGCAAACCAGAAACTGTCCTCTTTGATTGGGGAATGAAGTTGGGAAAGTCACCAGTGTTTTCCTTGGATGTCCACTTCCATCCTCCAGTTCTCTCAGGTCTGGGGAGCTGATTCCTCCATGACTAAGAGTAAACTTTATGTAAGTCATCCTTTCTGTCTTCAGGAGAAGCTTTGGGATAGGGTGGAGGATTAAGCCATGTGTCTATTGAACTATCAGGGAGTGTAGTCCCCCTTCTTGCTAACTATGGGGATATAAATTTGAGTGGGTATTTGTGGGGATTATTTATTTATTTAAATTTATTATTATTATTATTTAATGTTTTATTTATTTTTGAGAGAAATACACACCAAGTGTGAGTGGAGGAGAGGCAGAGAGAGACGGGGACACAGAATCCGAAGCAGGTTCCAGGCTCTTAGCTGTCAGCATAGAGCCTGACATGGGGCTCGAACTCATGAACCATGAGATTATGACCTGAGCTGAAGTCGGACTCTTAACCGACTGAGCCACCTGGGTGCCACCTGGGTGCCCCTGTGGGGATTTTTTTTTTTTTAAAGTAAGCGCTACACCTAATGTGGGACTTGAACTCAGAACCGCAAGATCAAAAGTAGCCTGCTTTACCGACTGACCCAGTCGGGCACCCCTGGGGGGATTTTTTATGGGAAAGAAAGCTATTCTGGCGGATAGTACTGCTCAGTGTTTAAAGGTTTCTCAGGGACTGTGAACACTCATTCATTCAAAAACATGATGTCTACCATGTGTCAAGCTCAGTGCTAGACAAGCAGTTTAGACCTAGTGGTTCCTGCTTTCACAGAATATCAGGTTGGCAGGGAAGACACAGAGATACAAAGTGCTGAGTGCTAAGATGGAAGAAAATTCTGGTTGAGGGATCCTGCAGGGAGGAGCATGCCAGCTTGTGGGCAGCAAGGTTGCCAACCCTGCCACTGAGCTCAGGCTAGAAAAATTAACACATTTACCAGGCTAGGGTTTGGTACTAGAATCTGCAAAGGCCCATGGTTCCAGAGAAGTTGGAACATTCAGAGATGTTTGCTGAGACTGAAGGGTGGGTGGGATGTTAGGGGTGTGACTGTATGGCAAGAGCCAGTCATAGGGAGATAGAGTACTGAAGAGTTTGGACTTTAGCTTTAGGATAGGGAGGGGTCCATGAAGGGTTTTTTCTGCCCTCCCATGAAGACTTAGGAAGATTTAGGTAGTCATATTAGTGTTTTAGATAAAGCTGTCCTGTTGCAATGTGGACAGGGTATTTGAAGGAGAGGTGAGAGGCTGAAGGACAGTAAGAAGGCAGCCTCAATCCTGGAGGGTGATGAGGCCGGAACTGAAGTAAGGAGCCATTGGGATGGAGGTGGAGCGATGACATTTTTCAACATATGTCTGAATTAGAATTTGTGTATCATTTGATGATTGTTGAACCTCAAATACATGCCAGGCACTAAGGATATAGTAATGAGAAACAATTCCCTGTTCTCAATGAGCTTAAATTTTTTCCTTTAAGATTTTAAAATTTATTTTTAAAGATTTTATTTTTAAGTAATTTCTACACCTAACATGGGGCTTGAACTTACAATTGTGAGATCAAGAATCACATGCTGTACCGACTGAGCCAGCCAGGTGCCCCTCAATGAGTTTAAGTCCTATTTGGAAGAGACAAACCATTAATAAGATGTTTAGTATTTCACATGCTGGTGAGTTGTGCTATGAAAGAAATTAAAGAAAGGAAGGAATGTGAGGAATTTGGTGAAGTGGCTGTAATCTGTAACATTAGAGGGTTCCAGGAAGCCTCTGGATGTTATATTTGAGCTTAGATATGGAGGGGAGGGGAAGGCCCATTTGGCCACCTGGGAATAGAGCTGACTGGAGATCCTAAATGTAGTGGCTTTGAGGCAGAGCTTGCCTGCCTTATAACTGGAAGAGCAAAGGAGGTACAATGGATGGAACAGAGTTAAGGAAGCAAAGAGGTGGCAGCATGATGCATCAGAGAGGGAGCTGGTGTATAGACTTCTACTGCCGCTATGTAGGACTACTACAAGAACTTGGGCTTTACTATGAAATGTGAAACCAGTGCAGAGGGTTTTTGTTTTGTTTACAGTAGTACATCTACTGAGATGTAATTCACATACACTACAATTAACCCATTTAAAGTGTAAATTCAATCATTTGTAGTATATTTAGAGTTGTGCAACCATCACAATTTTAGAACATTTTCATCATCTCTCCTCCATTTCTTTCCGACCACCAAAACCCTATACCCATTAGCAGTCATTCCTCTCTCCTCCCTAGCCCTAGGAACCCACGAACTTCCTGTCCCTTTAGCTTTACATATTCATGTAAATGGAGTAATATAAAATGCTATTTTGTGATTGTCTTCTTTCACTCAACATAATATTTTTAAGGTTCATCCATGTAATAGCATGTAGCAGTACTTCATTCCTTTTTATGGCTGAACAATATTCAATTGTGCACATATACCATATTTTGTTTATCTTTTCATCAGTGAAGGCCATTTGGGTTGTTTTGTTGCTATGAGCTGTCACGTGCAAGTTTTTGTGTGAACATATGCGTTTCATTTCTCTTTGGTATACATCTACGAGTGGAATTGCTGGGGCATATGGTAACTCTATGTTTAACCTTTTGAAGAATTGCCAGACTGTTTTCCAAAGCACCATTTTACAATCCCAAGGGCAGTGTTCAAATTTCTCCACACCCAATTCTTGTTATTTGTCTTTTCTATTATAGCCATCCTAGTGGGGTTTGAAGTGGTATCTCTAGTATTTCCCTGATGGCTAGTGATGTTGGGCATCTTTTTCTGTGCTAATTGGTCATTGTGTATTTTCTTTGGAGAAATGTCTATTCAGATCCTTTGCCCATTTTTTTTCTTTAAGTAGGATACATGTGGAGCCCAACACAGTTTGAACTCAGAACCCTGAGATCGAGAACTAAGCTGAGATCAAGAGTTGGACACTTAACCAACTGAGCCACCCAGGCACCCCTATCCTTTTCCCATTTTAAAATTTTATTTTTATTTACTTATTTACTTTACTTTTTAAAATGTTTATTCATTTATTTGCGGGGGGAGGGGGAGAGAATAGGGGAGGGGCAGCGAGAGAATCCCAAGCAGGCTCTGTGCTGCCAGCACAGAGCCCAATGCAGGACTAGATCCCATGAACCAGTAGACCAGGACCCCAGCCAAAACCAAGAGTCAGATGCTCAACTGACTGAGCCACCCAGGCACCCCTTATTTTTTATTTTTATTTTTTTAAAGTAGGCTCTATGCCCAACGTGGGGCTTGAACTCATGACCCCAAGATGAAGAGTTGCATGTTCTGCCAACTGAGCCAGCCAGATGCCCCTACCTTTGCTCATTTTTAAATTGGATTATCTTTTGAATTATTGAGTTGGAAGATCCAGTGAAAGACATGAAGAGGAGGAATAATAAAACCTATCAGTTGGTGTCAGCTAAGCAAGTAGAAAATAAATATTACTTATCCCTATTTTACAGATGAGGTAATGCCCAATAATGCCAGTGAGTGGCAGAGCTAGGATTCAAGCTAAGTTTGATTCCAAAAGGCCAGCTCTTAACCTTAACCAAGAATGACCAGTGGTTCACTGAGTTGTAGCTTTGTTCCTTGCCCCTAATTCCCCTAAACTACAGACCTGCGCTCCTTGAGGAACCTCCTTGGAGGCGCCAGCAGATGGCGATGGGGCCCCTGTGGGCCACTCTGTCGGCCCGCGTCTGTCTATGGTACCACCAGTGCGCAGACGTTGCCTCTGCGCTTCCGGGCGCCTTTCAAGGTGAGCCAGGGTCTCCGAGAACCTACTCCCTACTCCTCAATCCCTTTTCCCGAATCAAACCATCCCCCGCAGCTCGCAGCCGGCTAAGTACCGGAGCCAGGGTGCCCAGGAGATGGCCAGGTAGCCACCAGAGGAGGCAGAGCTGTCCGGACGTGTGGGTCCCGGCGAGGCCCACCGGCCGTAGACCCCGCGACTCTGCTTTGCTGCGCGGGGTAGGTCGTGACTCTGGTTGGTCTCTTGGCGATCCTGGCCTTCCAGAAGCGGAGCGTGACTCCTCCCCTTGGTCCTCTTGGTCTCCACCAGGCGGCGCCGTCATTCGGCCCAGGTTCCCTTGCGCTGCGAGCCCTGGGCACCCCATGGGTGTTGAGATTGGCAAGGAGAGAGGCGGAGAAATGAGCTGTCAGAGAGCGGTGTACCACTTGAAATAAGTTTCCCTCGTGGACTGTGCTTTTCATCATTAGAATCTCCTGGAGTACATGTGCAAATCCCTATGCTCCACCCCGAAAGATCCCGATTCAGTAGATCTGGGGTGGGGCCTGGAAATCAGCATTTTAAACGGCTGCTCCAGGTTGATGCCCATAATCTGCGGACCTCACCTTCAGAAACACCGGTGTAACTGGTGGAGAGGAACATTGCATTGGGTTGGCTATGGGGCTGTTTATCTTCTGGAAGGCTTCCAAGAGGAAGTGATTCTAGCTTGGCTTTGTATTGAGGGACCAGAAAATCCATTGGTTCTTTACCCCACAGTGATGAACTCCCTGCCCGCTACCAGCAGGATGCAGAAGATCTCAGTGCTGCTCTTCCTGGCCTGGGTCGGCTTCCTCTTCTACGCTGGCATTGCCCTCTTCACCAGTGGTTTCCTGCTCACCCGTTTGGAGCTCACCAACCATAGCAGCTGCCAAGAGCCCCCAGGCCCTGGGTCCCTGCCATGGGGAAGCCAAGGGAAACCCGGGGCCTGCTGGATGGCTTCTCGATTCTCTCGGGTTGTGTTGGTGCTAATAGATGCTCTGCGATTTGACTTTGCCCAGCCCCAGCGCTCACATGGGCCTGGGGAACCTCCTGTCTCTCTGCCCTTCCTGGGTAAACTGGACTATTTGCAGAGGATCCTGGAGATTCAGCCCCACCATTCCAGGCTCTACCAGTCTAAGGCTGATCCCCCCACCACCACCATGCAGCGCCTCAAGGCCCTCACCACTGGCTCACTGCCTACCTTTATTGATGCTGGCAGTAACTTTGCCAGCTATGCCATAGTGGAAGACAATCTCATTAAGCAGCTTGCCAGTGCAGGTTAGTTTGGGCCTCTTTGGAGTCCAAGAGTACCTTAGCAGATTTCGTCTTTAGAAGTCAGAGAGCTAGAACTTTGGGTGTCCAGCTGCTTGCTAGACTATGCTGTGGGAGGACAGGGGAAGAGAAAGAGACTAGAGCCCTGCATGCAGCAAGTAGGGGTCTGGGCTTTGTCCTTCTGGAGTTTCTAGTCTGCATGGAATGTTGCTTTTATTTAGGGGGAGCTCTCAGTAAGGGGCAGTGGAGAGATGAGGAGAAGATGTGAATCCGGTTATTCTCACAAGTGAGAAAGCAGAGAGTCAGTCCATGCCCTGTCCACTCACTGACTTGGAAAATGTAACATATACCCAGGAAAGACAGATCAGCAAAGATAGCCAAGAATTGGGAATTAGCAGAGCCTTTTGTAGAAACAAGAAGTGAAAAGTCTTGTTATTGGGGAAAGTATGGTTAACAGGGAAAGCTTCTTGGCAGAAAATCTTAGGCCTTGAAAGATAAAGAGTTGTTGGATGAAATTGCTGTCCCTTCGAGTGCATGGTTGAGATTTCTGACGAGTCTTTAAAGGTCCCCCTCTTCTTTTTACCCCTGCCTTGACTCCTGCTCAGGCTGTGACCCACTCTCATGTCCCTGCAGGAAGGCGTGTGGTCTTCATGGGAGATGATACCTGGAAAGATCTTTTTCCTGGAGTTTTCTCTCAAGCTTTCTTCTTCCCATCTTTCAATGTGAGAGACCTGCACACAGTGGACAATGGCATCCTGGAACACCTCTACCCAACCAGTGAGCATTGGGCCAGAGGCAGGTCTGACTAAGATTAGGAGCTGGGGAGGGTTGCTTCAGGTGACAAATTCTGACCCTCCCATGGGTGCAGTGGCCTGGGCTTACGTCCCTTGATAGATTGTCAAAAGCTGGCTGGGGTTGAGGAGTGGCCTTAGTCCCCTGTGCTCAGTGTTCTTCCTTTCACAGTGGACAGTAGTGAATGGGATATGCTGATTGCTCACTTCCTGGGTGTGGATCACTGTGGCCACAAGCATGGCCCTCACCACCCTGAAATGGCCAAGAAACTTAGCCAAATGGACCAGGTGATCCAGTGAGTGTGGGTTATTGGCTGGGGGAGTGGGTTTGTGTCTGAGAATCTCAGGATATATTGGCCCAAGAGAAAAAGTCTTTATCTTGGAGCCTCTTTCCTTGCTGAATTCTGTCTTTTCTAGGCCTTTCTTTTGAAGCTAGGAGCCTCATTCATCTTGAGTGACTCAGCATGTGGCTTTGGGCAGTAGGGTTGTGAATGAAGAGGTATCTCTTTGCCAAATGTCTAAGCCCTCCTGTTGGAAGTTATGGCTGGGGGTAAATGGGTCTCCAAGGAAAATCTTCATCCATTCCTACCCCCTGACATATTTCTTGGCCTTCAGGGGACTTGTGGAGCGTCTGGAGAATGACACACTGCTGGTGGTGATTGGGGACCATGGAATGACCATGACTGGGGACCACGGAGGGGATAGTGAGCTGGAGATCTCAGCTGCACTTTTTCTGTACAGTCCCACAGTCCTCTTTCCCAGTGCCCTACCACAGGTGAGGTCTGGGGTGTGCTTTGTCGGGTCTCCTGGTATTCAACCTCATCAAGATCACAGCATTCTTGTGGATCCCTCCACTTTAGATCCCCAAATTCTTTACCCTGGGCATTCCCCATTCATTTCCTACCTAGGTCCCTGTCTTCCATTCCAAATCCCGATCTCAGCTTTGTGGTGAACCCATTGGCCCCTCTCCTTTTCCTTTAGGAGCCGGAGATAGTTCCTCAAATCAACCTTGTACCTACGCTGGCCCTGCTGCTGGGCCTGCCCATTCCATTTGGGAACATCGGGGAGGTAATGGTTGAGCTGTTCTCAGTGGTTGAAGACCCCCAGCCTCACTCCTCTGCTCTGGCCCAAGCCTCAGCTCTTCATCTCAATGCCCAGCAGGTAGGTGATGGGTTGGGTTTCCAGGTGATAGAGCTAGGGTGGGCATGGAAGAAGCATAATGATCACTTCATTGTCCTTTGTTCATTTTTAATCCCACTGTCCATAGCCATGTCCTCCTTCCATTATCCCTCACTTCCCCCCTGTCTTGGACAGAGTTTGGGTCCCTGTTTTCCAGATACCTGCTTTGGTAACACTAACCCTTGCCTCTGTCCCGGTTTATGTCTTTGATGTGTTCCCTTGGCCTCTGACCATTTTTGCCAGGTATCCCGATTTCTTCACACCTACTCAGCTGCTGCTCAGGACCTTCAAATTAAGGAGCTTCATCGACTGCAGAACCTCTTCTCCAAGGCCTCTGCTGACTACCAGCGACTTCTGCAAAGCCCCCAGGGGGCTGAGGCAGCACTACAGACTGTGATTACTGAGCTGCAGCAGTTCCTGCGGGGAGTTCGGGCCATGTGCATTGAGTCTTGGGCTCGTTTCTCTTTGGTTCGCATGGCAGGGGGTGCTGCTCTCATGGCTGCTGCCTGTTTTCTTTGCTTGCTGGTATCCCAGTGGGTAACATCCCCAGGCTTCTACTTCTGCCCCCTCCTCCTAACACCCATGGCCTATGGTCTGGCTGGTGCCATAGTGTGTGCTGGACTCCTGACAGCTACCGGACTGAAGCCGGATCCAGTGGTCCTAGGGGCCATGGCTGCAGTGGGCTCACTCCTGCCTTTTTTGTGGAAAGCGTGGGCTGGCTGGGGGTCCAAGAGGCCCCCAGCAGCCCTACTGCCCATCCCTGGGCCTGTTCTGTTATTCCTGCTCATTCGTTTTGCTGCTTTCTTCTCTGACAGTTTTGTTGTAGCTGAGGCCAGGGCCACCCCCTTCCTTTTGGGCTCATTCATCTTGCTCCTGGTTGCCCAACTTCACTGGGAGGGCAAGCTGCTGCCACCTAAGCTTCTCACAATACCCCGCTTTTGCCTTTCGGCCTCAACAGGCCCACCACGGCACAATGGCACACATGCCCTGGGACTTGGAGTTGGGTTGCTTTTATGTATAAGGCTAGCTGGACTTTTTCATCGGTGCCCTGAAGAGACACCTGCTTGCCATTCCTCTCCCTGGCTGAGTCCCTTGGCATCCATGGTGGGTGGTCGAGCCAAGAATTTGTGGTATGGAGCTTGTGTGGGGGCTTTGGTAGCCCTGTTAGTTGCTGTGCGCCTGTGGCTTCGCCGCTATAGTAACCTCAAGAGCCCTGAGCCCTCTGTGCTCTTTGTGCGCTGGGGGCTGCCCTTAATGGTACTAGGCACTGCCGCTTACTGGGCATTGGCATCAGGAGCAGATGAAGCACCCCCACGTCTCCGGGCCCTGGTTGCTGGAGCATCAGTTGTGCTGCCCAGGGCTGTGGCAGGATTGGCCGCTTCAGGGCTCATGCTGCTGCTCTGGAGGCCTGTGACAGTGCTAGTGAAGGCTACAACAGGTGCTCCAAGGACCAGGACTGTCCTCACTCCCTTCTCAGGCCCCCCGACTTCTCGCGCTGACCTGGATTATGTGGTTCCTCAAATCTACCGACATATGCAGGAGGAGTTCCGGGGCCGTCTAGAGAGGACCAAATCCCAGGGCCCCTTGACTGTGGCAGCTTATCAGTTGGGGAGTGTCTACTCAGCTGCTATGGTCACAGCTCTCACCCTTTTGGCCTTCCCACTTCTGCTTTTGCATGCAGAACGCATTAGCCTTGTGTTCCTGCTTCTGTTTCTGCAGAGCTTCCTTCTCCTGCATCTGCTTGCTGCTGGGATATCCATCACCACCCCTGGTAAATACATTTCTCAGCCCTGGTTCATCCAAGGACAGTAGTGATGTGACTTCGGCCCCTCTTGTTTTCAGGGAGGTGTTGCTCCTCAGATTCTTCACACGGTTGGGAGGGTTCTCCAGATGTCCTCTTATCTGCTGTAGCCAAGCTAATTGATCCCTCCCACTGGCTCTCAAGGCCAGCAAGGTTCATGGAGGAGAGAGACAGGAGTACTCCAAGACTCATTTCTTTTTTTTTTTTTTTTTCCAAGACTCATTTCTTATTGAAATGCTGCATCTTCATGAGTGCATTTCCTGATTTTCCAGTGATGGGAGTGGTGAATTATGAGCATGTGATGTCAACAGTGAGCTGTGCATATATGAGAGAGAGAAAGAGATAGATCATAGTCGAGATGTTCAGATTTAGAGTAACGGGGACTTAGTGCCACAGAGGGAATTAGAATAACAGAGTGTTGAATGTAAAGAGGTTGGATGATTGGCATGTGCAAGTGTGTGTGTGTGTGTGTATAGCACTGAAGTAGTAGGAGTATATGATCATGAGGCAGTAGGCTATGGATTAGAGAATGGGATGTGACTGTGAAAAGGTATATCTCTTCCCCCAGGTCCTTTTACTGTGCCATGGCAGGCAGTTTCTGCCTGGGCCCTCATGGCCACACAGACATTCTACTCCACGGGCCACCAGCCTGTCTTTCCAGCCATTCATTGGCACGCAGCCTTCGTGGGATTCCCAGAGGGTCATGGTTCCTCCACCTGGCTGCCTGCTCTGCTGGTGGGAGCCAACACCTTTGCCTCCCATCTCCTCTTTGCAGGTAACTCCTCATTCCTCTCTTGCTTCCCTTGTTTACTCTGAATTTGTGGAAAGAAAAGAAAGTCCTGGATTTGAGTGGGGAGATGTGATTTTGTTGGATCTTTGGCACCCCTTGGCCAATGGTAATTGGAGCCTCAGTCAACTAGGGTGGTTGGGGGCCAGGGTGGCCTGGTCCCTGGGTCCTCCATTGATTCTAGTCCTGCCTTCCTCTGAGGCAGTAGGTTGCCCATTGCTTCTGCTCTGGCCCTTCCTATGTGAGAGTCAAGGACCTCGGAAGAGGTGGCAGCCCCTAGGGAGTGAAGCTGAATCCAGAGTCAGGCCTGAGGAGGAGGAGGAGCCACTGATGGAGATGCGGCTCCGGGATGCGCCTCATCACTTCAATGCAGCACTGCTGCAGCTGGGCCTCAAGTACCTCTTTGTCCTTGGTATTCAGGTAGGTACAGGGAGAGATCACAGGGTTAGTGACCTTTTCTCGTGTGTACATCACATTCTTTTTTTCATACTTTACCAAAACCCTAGGAGACAGCCTTGACTGAAGTACAGTTAAGAAAAATGGTTGCCCAAGGCCAGTGGCCTCAAGTGGTTATATTGAGACTTAGACCTGAGTCTCCTTAATCCTAGTCATGGATTGTTTCCTCTCTACAAGCTAGATCTGGACCCTGCTGGTTGCATTTGGGGATTCCTCCATTAGTGGACAGACTGGAAAAACTGAGGTGATGGCCAGGATTCTTTCCCAGGCTATGGTCATGGATCTTCTTTCCCTTCAGAGGCAGAAGGTGTGACTCTGACATCTTCCTCCACCCTGGAAGGCAGAGCCTGAGTATAAGCACAGATGGATAGTGCTTGCTCAAGGTCACACAGTGAGTCATGGTGAGGCCAGGAAAAGAATTAGGTCTCCCAACTCCTCATCTAGGGTTTTTTTTTTTCACTGACATGCACTAGTTTCCTACTCCTCCCATTCTTCACAGGGGCCTATAGCACTTCTCCCTTTGACCTGCTTCTTCTCCCCTTCCCAAATAACTTGACCTTTCGTATCCTTTCTTAGATTCTGGCCTGTGCCTTGGCAGCCTCCATCCTCCGCAGGCATCTCATGGTCTGGAAGGTGTTTGCTCCCAAGTGAGTGGATTTGCTTGGGAAGTATTGGCATTGGGGTGGGTAAGCTTGGATGAAAGAATGAACATCAGGGAGGCAGGTTTTGTCTCATCAGGGAAAAGGCCTCCAGATCTACTTTCAGTGTCCCCTGAGAATTCTCCACATTTCTTTGCAGGTTCATTTTTGAGGCTGTGGGCTTCATTGTGAGCAGCGTGGGACTTTTCCTGGGCATAGCTTTGGTGATGCGAGTGGATGGTGCTGTGAGCTCCTGGTTCAGGCAGCTAGTTCTGGCCCAACAGAGGTAGCCTAGGCTGCAAGTGCTGGCTTTGTGGCCACAGGGAGAGCTGAAGAACAATCTCGCCTGGCCTATACAGGTGCTGGATCATCTGCAAGAGAGGCTTAGCCACACTTCTTACCACCATGCAGCCAGGAGCTACTGACATCTGGGACTTCGTTATTTTATAATTCAAAATCATAGTGGGGCATGGTCCCTAACTGCTGCTTTGAATGCATCTAAGGGACTGGAGGGTGGTCTCCAAAGTAGAATAAAATAATAATGTAAATATGTGTGTCTGAGAGGTGGGGGAGTCCCCACTGTCCTACAGGGACTAGGAAGAGGGTCACTCTCCCCTCCTATGAGGCACAGATGGCATCAGCCATCTTGTGCAGACCTGGCTACACCTGAAAACTTTTGGGAAGTGGTTGGAGTTGTCTGAATTCACTTCTACTTCTTTCCAAATCACTCCTGTTATCCCACCGGCTTTTTTTTTTTCCATGTAACATGTTTTATTAAATTCTTCTGCTAATAGCAGAGATGGCTGAAAAGACAAGCACAGGCAACATGGAGTACACAAACCCACTGTCTAAAGCCCCAAACACTGTTGCATTCCCTCCTCTGTTGTGTTCTTTCGCGCTAGAACACCCTTTGCCCTTTGCTTCTGTGGAGGCCAGGAGGCCACCCTAGTTTTCCAACCTTTGCTGCCATTTATCAGACCTAATTGCCCATCTTACATAGCATTCCATCTTGTCCCATTGATTATTCCTGACTTGGAGCCAAAACTATATAAATTTAATGCATGTCTCTTATGTTCTTCATCCACCTCACTACTATGTAAGATTGAAGTACTGGTGGCAAATTCTCATGGAAATGTCCATCAAAGGAGGGGGAGGGGAAGACCCTGAGGAGAAGGGTCAGGACTGGGATTTGATGTTTGATAATGCCCAGGACAAGTGATGGTGAAGTAAAGGCATTCACCACTGTGGCAGCTAAAGGAAGAGTTGGAGTTATTGTGGCTAATAGTCTCTAATGCTACAGAGATCAAACAAAGATAAGTTCATACTGTTTCAGGCAGTTAGAGGATAGGACATTGGTAACCCTGGCAGGAATAGATTTAATAATATAAGAGAAGTTAGGCCCCAGCTAAAACTGTAAGATGAATTAGAAAAAGATCCCTTCCCTTTCCTTAATCTGGGGGACACTATTCCCAAGCATCATTTAATAAGCAGACAATGCCTTTGTGAGAAGAAAAGACCCTTTTCCATCCCTAGCACCCATGGGAAGGATTTCAGAGCCTTGTCCCTCATCTTGTCTTAGGTTCCCCCCAATCCCGTTCCTTTTTTGCAGAGAGCCTCCTTCCCTGGAGCCTAAGGAAAATCTGTTCTTAGTACCATTGGCTATTTCCTCTTCTGATCTAACTACAAGATCCTTTAAGAGAAAGATCTGTTAAAAATTCTTGGGGCACCTGAGTGGCTTAGTTGAGCATCTGACTCTTGATTTCTGCTCAGGTTATGATCCCAGGGTTGTGGTATTGAGCCCCATGAGCACCCCTGCTTAACATTCTCTTCCCCCTCTGCCCTTCTCCCCTGCTTGTGCTCTCTCTCTCTCAAAAAAAAAAATCTCATTTCTGCTTCTTACTTGACATCAAAGACCCCATTACACACTAACTTATTGTTTGTTGTGTTGTTTTGTTTTGTTTTGTTCTGAGATAGAGTGTGTGTGAACTGGGGAGGGGCAGAGGGAGAGGGAGAGAGAATATTAAGCAGGATCCATGTTCAGCTCTGAGCTCTTTGCAGGGCTCTATCCCATCACCCTGGGATCATGACCTGAGCCAAAATTGAGAGTTGGATGCTCAACTAACTGAACCACCCAGGTGCCCAACTTTTTTGTTTTGTTTTGTTTTGTTTTGTTTTGTTTTAGAGAGCTTTATTGAGGTACAATTTACCATAAAATCCAGCCATTTAAAGTGCACAATTTTGGGTGCCTGGATGGCTCGGTCAGTTAAGCATCTGACTCAATTTCGGCTCAGGTCATGATCTCACAGTTGTGAGATCGAGCCCAGTGTTGGGCTCAGTGCCAGGCATGGAGTTTGCCTAAGATTCATTCTCTCCCTCTCCCTCTGCCTTTCCACCACGCACCCTCTCTCTCTCTCTCTCTCAAAAAAAAAAAAAAAAAAAAAAAAAAAAAATAGTGCACAATTCAATAATTGTATATTCACAGAATTCTGCAACCATCATCACAGTTAATTTTAGAATGTTTTCATCACCCCAAAAAGAAACTCCATACTCTTTCCTATTTCCCTCCAAACCTCCCTACATCCATCCCTAACCTGAGGCAACCACTAATCTGCCTTCTGACTATATTCGCCTATTTTGGACATTTCATATAAATGGAATGTTATAATATGTGGCCTTTTCTGGCTTTTACTCAGCCTAATGTTTTCAAGGTTCATCCATGTTGCAGTACATATGAGTATTTCATTTCTTTCTTACGGCCAAATAATGTTCCGTTGTATGGATATATCAATTTTGTTAATTCATTCATCCATTGATGGACATTTGGGTTCCTTGCACCTTTTGGTTATTATGAATAATGCTGCTATGACCATCCATATACAAGTTTTGTTTGGACATATGTTTTCATTTCGTTTTCACTTATACCTAGTGGTATATTGTGGAATTGCTAGGTCCTATTGTAAATCCGTGTTTAACGTTTTGAAGAACTGCCAGTTTGTTTTCCAAGGCCACTGCACCATTTAATATTCCCATTACTAGTGTGTATGAGGGTACCAATTTCTTCACATTCATGCCTTTACTTACTATTAACTATTTTTTATTTAACCATCCTATCAGGTGTGAAACGGAAAAATTGTGTTTTTGGTTTGCATGTCCTTGATGACTAGTGATATTGAGCATTTTTCTTATGCTTATTGGAGAACTGTCCATTCAGGACCTTTCTCTGTTTATTAATTGGGTCTTATTTTTACTTTTGAGTTATAACGTTGTTTATATATTCTAGATAGAAATCCCTTGTAAGATATATGATCTGCAAATATTTATCCTTCTGTGGATTGTCTTTTTTTTTAAATTTTTTTTAACGTTTTATTTATTTTTGAGACAGAGAGAGACAGAGCATGAACAGGGGAGGGTCAGCGAGAGGGAGACACAGAATCTGAAACAGGCTCCAGGCTCTGAGCTGTCAGCACAGAGCCTGACGCGGGGCTCAAACTCACGGACCGCGAGATCATGACCTGAGCCGAAGTCGGCCGCCCAACCGACTGAACCACCCAGGCGCCCCATGTCTTTTTTTTTTTTTTTTTTTAAAGCAGGCACCACACCCAAGGTGGGGCTTGAACTCATGACCCTGAGATCAAGAGTTATATGCTCTACCAAGTGAGGCAGCCACCCCAGGCATTTCATTTTCTTGATAGCGTTCTTTGAGGCACAAACTTTTTAAATTTCGATGAAGTCCAATTCATCCTATTTTTCTTTTGTTGCTTGTGCTTTTTGGCTTCAAATGTAAAAAATCTTATCTAGTGCCACGATTCAGTTAGAAATTTTTATCACTCTCACAAAGTCCCTATACTTTGTTTACAATGAATTCCCAAATTCACCCTAGGCCACTGATATGTTTTAGTTTTTCTAAATTTGCCTTTTATGGACATTTCATACAAATGGAATCATCAAATACGTGGTCTTTTGGTCTGGTTTCTTTGACTTAGAATATTTTTGAGGTTCATCCATGTTGATGCATGTATCAGTTTTTCCCCCTTTTTATTGCTGAGTCATATTCCATTGTATGGCTATGATCAGCCAATGGACATTTGGATTGTTTTTAGTTTTATTTAGCTATTATGAATATTTTTGTAGCTGCTTTGAGTATTTGCATACCAGTCTTGGTGTAGACATAAGTTGTTGGTTTTTTTTTTTTTTT